CAGTAGATTCTAGTAGCAATAACATTCAAGATGAAAGAAAACTAGATTCTGGGCTGAACACTAAGACACATAATATAAGCACAAATTTAATCCTTAGAATTGAGAATAGAATCTAGTGAAAATACATCCAAACGAAAAAAACGTGTGCATCCAAGAGTACTGAAAGAAACAATGAAGAGGCTAGGAGATTAGACAGACTAGACGGCTACACACTACACACATTACTATTACACTATCGGTACGCAGAAACGTAATGCAAAAATGTTCCATCAATTGTATACGTATTAGTATTAGAACATCTGCCTATCGCCGCTTTTCGCATTTAATCGCCGCTTTTCACATTGATCCTCGATAAGACAAGGACCGGTTTCGAGGCGAGCTTATCAAGATAAGGTCGTCCACCCCGGCCCTCAATGCCGGAGCCAGTCGTGCCGGCTGTGTGGCCTGAACTGAGAAGGCCTAGGCCAAGAGACATCCAAGTATATCGTAGATAAAACTGAACCAAAGATGACCAAGAACTGTAACTGGCACCAACAACCAATTGTGTCAGAGGAGCGTCTCGTTATCACACTCAGGTGAGTCATCCTTAGTTGAAATGTAAATATACGTATGTTGTAATAACTGTATTATATTCATGTATCCACAATGAACGAAGCCTGTGCATCAAAATGTTTATTAAATTTATCTCCATTATGAACTAACAACCTGTAGATCTTCTGCTTATTTTAAACATATACTGAACACCAAAAGAAACGCAAGTAAGCAACAAAAGAAACGCAAATGGATTTATTCTGTAGAAAAGGTTATTTTTATTGAAATTGTTAACAGTTGTGTAATTTTTTAAAGATGTTTTACGTTCGAAAATGTGATTTTCATTGAGCATGGACGAACGTCTTTGACTGGTATTTTTTAACGACTCCTTAATGTCACAGTAATCTGAAACACAGGGATGCACAACACGCATATTCCATTTGGCACAGTTCAAGCGTTGTCGTGCTGGAACACCAAGTGGTGGTGTTGCTGGACATAGGGGAGGACCGCCGGCCTTAGTACCATGTTGATGTAACGTTGGCCGTTGATTCCATAGCCAAGCTTGTGTCCGAGGTTTCGGAAGACGACAGGGTCGATCTGGTGATTTAGTCCAATAGCAGCCCTGATCATGACACTAGGGCCACCCCAGACGTCGGTTTCCATCATTTTGATGTCTGCGTTGCGTTCACCGTTCCTCCTCCAGATTCTGACTCTTCTATCCGCGTTGCTGATGCAGAATCGACTCTCGTCAGAGAAAAGAATATTTCTCCATTGCCCCCATGTCCAATGAAGCCGATGCTGGGCACAGGCTAACCTCTGTTGTCTGTGGCGGATAGTGAGGACTGGGCCGACCGCAGGACGACAGCACCGGAGTCCTCGGGTCTGAAGTCGTCGCCGCACGGTCTGGCCGGATATCGGTCGTCCGTGGCTGTCCCCCTTGCTGTTTCGGCTGCAGGCAGGAAGCTGTCTCGGAGATGACGGCGCGTAATCAGTCGATCTTGGCGTGCGGATGTGACCCGTGGTCTTCCGCTTCTGGCCAAGTCTTGGGTGCTGCCAGTTGTTTGAAAACGTGTCCACAGCCTACAAACTGTTGAAAGGGACACATGACATGCGACAGCGACCACAGTACGGCTGCCCCCAGCTTGTAAACGCCCAATGGCTCCGTCTCGATCTGCAGAGCTCAGTCGTGGCATCGTCTTGGCGGTCAACTGCTTCACTGGACAAAGCGTAGCGGTGTGTCTTTTTATACCCTGATATGCCACAAACACTAATCCAGAAAAAAAAATTCACTCCTCTCTGTTCTCAATCACGCAGGGCTAAAAGCACAAACTTTTCATTGACCGACTTTCGTGAGCTTAAGGTGAGTACTTTTTACTCAGCGCTCAAAGGCTACACTCAGGAGACCTAAACACCTCAGGAGCGTGTACCAGTATGTACCTGAAACATATTTTTCAACACATTTTAGGGTGAAAATCGACCAAAGTAATGACTTGCGTTTCTTTTGGCGTTCAGTATACTATAATAAGGACATTTTATGAGAGAAGAGTAGCAGTAGTATAAAAAAAATGTTGTTACTTACAAAAGAAAAAAGCCAGCAAACTCCGAAATTTTCTTAGTTATAGAGTGATTACATGTGAATATATTCAACAACTTGGAAGCTAAAAAAAAGTAGACTGATCGTAAAGAATAAGAATGATTCTCCACTTGTTCATTTTGGCCAAAACGGTATAGACTAGCAGTTATCTTGTGCAAAATACAAGTTGAGTATAACAAAGTTAAAGATCAGTTGAAAACTCTTTGTCTTCAGCACTTTATATACAGTTTGCAACCTACCTGGCGTAGAAATGGTAACAGTTGAAAAAACAAAACAAAACACAAAAAAAGACAACAACACATTAAAAAAACAACAACCGCGGCTTATGATTTGTTCATACGTTGACAGATGTGCTGATGATCATAATAAAAAAAAAAAGATCTAGTACTGGTAATGGTGAGGGTCTGGCTCAGTGGTGTAGGAACTGATACTATGAGGCGTCGAGACTGTGCTATAGCTTTGGTAAGACTATGTGGGCGTTGTTCTATCTTGTATTTGTTAATCAGCATCCTGAGGTCTGTCTTTGTACGGTTGTGAACGTTGTACTGTTGGTGTTGGGTAAACAAACTCTTGCAGAACTGACTGTAGTCGATTGCGAGCGGAGAGTTTCAGGTGTTGAGGGACCATTTTCATGAATGGGTATAGTGATTTGAGGAACAGAAAGTCAGCATCATTTGTTTGCTCAGCATTTTCTATTTTTTGATTAAAGTATTGAAGTTTTCTTTCTTCTATTTCTATCAGTTCACTGTAATTGTCCAAGCTGTCTCGACTACGTTTTCTGGGTCGTGCTCCTCTTGTCGGTCTACTTTGACTGGATGAAGACCCCGGAGACAACTCCTGGGAGGGTCCAGGTTCTGGTGCTTCAGGGTTAGGGAATGTATCTGGTCCCTGACTCTCAACATTGCTGCCCTGGGTGGTTATTTCTGGTAAAGACTCATGGCATATCACTGGATTATCCTCAACGCTATCCAGGTCAAGGGAGTCGAATGAACTTCTCGGTGCGACAATGTCTTTCAAGAAGAGAAGTTGACTGAAGTGCAGCCACTTTGACTGTGGCTGATTGCTAGCAGCATCTCCTGACCTTGCCTCAAGCCTTTTATTATATTCCGTTGAAAAGTAGTCTCGAAGGGACTTCCATTTGTTCTTTAGTGCTGTTTCTGTAGAGAAAAAAGTAACAGCAAAATATTATGTATGATACATCTAGTGCTTGCATACAATGTTATTGTCAATGATTAAAGTTCACATAAACTGAGTCATAATGATTGTCCTATTCCAGCAAGTCAAATATGAACGTTCAAAAAGTTTTGCCTCCAAGTTCATAATTTCTTTTCTACTGATTCTACATACAAAAGTTATACACCAAATGAAAGCTTAGGATATCTGCTACATGACAGTACCTTTACTTTTCAACATAGTCGCCTTCTTTGTCGATGCAGATCCGCCAAAGTCGAATAAGTTGTCGAATGCCGTCGGCGAAAATTCCATGTGGTTTTCCTCTGAACCAGCGACGCACATCTTCTTGAACGTCATCGTCATCCGCGTAACGTTTTCCTTTGAGGTACTCCTTCAACTTACGAAAAAGATTAAAGTGAGTTGGAGCAAGGCCTGGACTGTATGCATGGGTGCGGTAATGTCTCTTGAAATCTGAGACTTTTCAAGGCATCTTGAGTTTGTCGACTCGTGTGTGGACGGGCGTTGTCGTGGTGCAAAACTGCATTTTTTCCAGGCCGAACCCATGACAGCCGCGCTCTAAGTTTTCTCAGGGTCTCAATATATCGTTCAGAGTTGATAGTGGAACCCTGTTCCAAAAATTCCATATGAATCAGACCATCGCAGCCGCAAAACACTGTCATAAGAACTTTCTTTGCTGATGAAACAACTTTGAACTTCTTGGGGCTAGGTAAGCCAGTGTGCCTGTATTCTTTCGATTGTCTTTTGTTCTCTGGGTCATAATGGTGTATCCAAGCCCTGTCTCCAGTAACTATACGGCGTAAGAAATCTTCACCTTTATCAGTATAACGAGCCAGGAGTTCATCACTAACTTGACTTCGGTTCAATTTCAGCTCGGGTGACAACATGTGGGGAACCCACCGTGCACACACTTTCCTGTTACCCAACTCATCATGGATAATATACTGAACACTCCCAAAAGAAATCCCTAGCATTTCATTGATATTTCTTACTTTGATCCACCGGTTTGCTCGACTGATCTCATTCACTCTCTCCTGGTGTTGAACATCACTGGCAGAGTTGGGACGACCTCCACGAGCTGGGTCAAGCAAATCTGTCTCTGCTGGACTAGTTTCAGCGAACTCCTTTTCCCATCTTCGAATAGTACTTACATCTACACATGCTTCACCAAAGACAAGCTTCATTCGCCTTCTATGAATGTCAATGGGTGCAGCTCCCTCTGCAGTGAGGAACTCAATAACAGCTATTTGCTTTAAGCGCACATTCAAAGGTTTGCTGGACGCCATTTTCTCGGCGTTAATGTACCCTGGCTTCTATGATGTAAACAGCAGCAATAGCATAAAGGTGTGACATCATAGCATAATTCTGTTGTTTTTTTGTTGTTGAGAGTAATAATATTATACATATTGAAAGTCAATTGTGTACAAATTTCATGAAGATATCTTGAATAGTATAAAAGCTATTGGAGAGGAGGCAAAACTCTTCGAACGACCCTGGTATGTCACTATTCAAAACCCGATTTCGAGACACAACTAATACATGATAAACATGTTTGTTTTTTCAGATTCCTTTTCAACCGGTTCATCTTTAAAACCCTTGCCTTCAACCTCCGGGTGGGTGCCTCCACTATAGCACACATTGTGTCTAAAAAGGTTACTGCTATATGGGATGAGCTGAAACCAGTGCATATGCCATCTCCAACCAGGGAAACATTCCAATCGGCTTCTGATCACTTTTACAGTCTTTGAAATTTCCTAAACTGCTTAGGAGCACTGGACGGAAAGCATCATATTCGAATCCGTTGTCCTAGCAAATCAGGATCGATGTTTTATAACTACGAGAAATATTTCTCAATTGTGTTGCAGGCTGTCGTTGATGCCCACTTCACATTTTTGACAATCAACGTTGGTGGACATGGGAAACAAAGCAATGGTGGTACTTTTCAAGCCTCGGGCTTTTATCGTGCTCTTGTGGAAGAAAAACTGCAAATTCCAGAGCTTACAGCTCTGCCAAACTCAAATGTCGAGGCCCCATTTGTGTTCGTTGCTGACGAGGCATACCCACTAATGACTCACATTTTAAACCTTGCAGTGGAACAAATCTATCTCTTGATGAAGACTGCTTCAAGAAGAGATTTGTCAAGATGTAGAAAAACTGTTGAATGTGCGATTGGAGTTTTGGCAGCAAAATGGCGTTTGCTAAACAAAGCAATTGAGACAGGCATGCTGCTTAGTGGCGTCGGTAGCCTAGTGGTTAGGCTACCGGACTCGTAATCGTGAGATTGCGAGTTCGGGGGTTCGAGCCTCAGTTCGGTCCA